GGGGGTGTGACAACAGCAACAAATTTTTCCTCATTAATTTGAGGAAGTGTGTAGTGGGCAAAAAAAAAAGAATTCAAGAAATGAATTTTCAGAATAATATTTCATATTAAACTAACTCACTTCTAAAAGATGTCTAAAAAAATTGTATGTATGTTTAATCATAGTATATATTAGTTCGACGGATTTGTGACCTAATAAGTACGGTTTGTCGTTGTTGCTGTTGTCATCTCTCGTAGCTTAGTGGTCAAAGCATTGGCGCGTAAAGCCAAAGAGCCCGGGTTCGATTCCCGGCGGGGGTGTGACAACAGCAACAAATTTTTCCTCATTAATTTGAGGAAGTGTGTAGTGGGCAAAAAAAAAGAATTCAAGAAATGAATTTTCAGAATAATATTTCATATTAAACTAACTCACTTCTAAATGTCTAAAAGTATGTATGTTTCATATTCATAGTATATTTATTTATTATCCAGGAAAAGATCTGTTTGTGGTTACTAAACTACCACCAGGTGGTCACCGACCTGATGGGGTACCCAAATATTTGAAGAGATCTCTGCAACTGCTGCAGCTCGATTATATCGATTTATATTTAGTTCATACGCCTTTTGGGTTCAAAGATATCGAAGGAAATTTGCACCCCATGACGCCTGACGGAAAAATCGACCAGGATCCCACCACCGACCACGTAGCAACATGGAAGGTAGGTGCTTTAAAAAATATATTTAATTTCATTTTCAGCTAGTTCGAAACTCATTAGAATCTTAAAAAGTAAACGTTTATTATCAGATAACGATTTTTAATTATCTTATTCTTTAAGCACTTTGCTAACAGCACGGGTAGTTAACATTGACGAGGTCGAATTGATTCTTTGTTTGCTTTTTTACAAAGCGTTCTCTTTTATGAAAAAATGTTATTCAAGGTTAATGGAAAATAGAATGCATATTAAGAGTAATTCCATAGCCTTGAAACTTGAAACATAATCTATTATTACTTAACACTTAATGATTACATTGAATAATCTTTGGCATTTTTGTTCTCATAATGTGAGCTACGTATTTTATGAAACTTCATCTTTTAATAAAATTAAAATGTTTTACGTTTTAAAATTTGCGAGTTTCTATTCAATTTGTCAGTTGTACAGTATTCAAAAAAGTTTTTCAAAGGTAGACGTATGATAGTTTCTACTGTTATCATCATCATTATCATCATCCTTGTAAAGCCTACACTGCGAAAACTGACTTGTCAAACACTTCCACGTGTGCCAATCTTCCTCATTTGCCGAAAAGCACATTACGAATTTCTTTGCCACTTTTAACTCCTGTTTTAGCTTCTAGTATGTCTCTAACTAGGCTTTTATCATTATTTTCTTTTTTTACTTATGTTACTGGTGAATGATGAGGATGCCAGGTCAGTAGGACACCTTCTCAGGTATGAAGGTCTAGTCAGAGACATATTAGAGGCAGAAACAGGAGTTAGGAGGGGTAGAGGTAGACCTAGATTAGATTACTGTTCGCAAATAGTTAAGGATGTGAGAAATGCAAAGATTAGCTCAGGATAGGAAGGAGTGGAGGTGCGTGTCCTACCTTGAGCAAGGAACTACGAAATTCTATGAATTACGACAAAACAGCTCGAAAAACAATATCGAATTCAGCTGTGTAAAACTGAAAACTACACGATATTGTGGTGTGCTAATAAATGCGTATAATCCAAAATCCTTAGAAAACGATTTGAAAAAATTTCACTTATTAGATGAACCCAAAGCTAAAAAAACTATGAATTCCATTTCTTTTTCTTAGAAAGATTAGAAACAAAATGGAGTTGTAAATTTTTTTGATATAAAATGATTGATAGTGATTTTACATCAATAAAACTATTGGCATTCCTGTTTTGGCTCTGATCTTTCACGCTAAGCAAACTATTTTGGCATCAGTGTCTTTTTTCCAATTAAAACGGGTGACAAAGGCAAATAAGGAAGCACATAGAAGAATTATTTGTTGCTGAACTGAAGAAACTATAACATAAAGATAGAAAAACTATATCTCAATCACTTTAAACAGAAAAATATGAATCATATCAATCTTCGCAGCTGGTGATGTAATGCAAACACTACTACTAGTCTAGAAAAACTCCAATATTTAAAAAATGAGCAAATGCTTGCAAGATTTTCTTAAAAAAGTATGTATGTAAATCG